TTTCTTTTAGCAATGTATTCTTCAATCTGCTTAATATGCGTCATGTTGACTTGTAGGCTGTTCAGTGTTGGAGGATATTTTTTAAGCTTGCTGTCATTTATGAATTTTTTTGTTAACATTATCAAATGATTTAATAAAATGTTGAAATCTTGGTCACCAAGCAAAATTTGCTTATCGTTACTAAAATCAGTTATGTTATTACTATACTCATTGATCATTCCAAACATTGCGTACTGTATTGAAATATGGGGCAACATATTTCAGCGCATTCATTGATCCAATTTTAAATTTACAAACTTTGCAAGTTCAATACATGTATTTTTGTATATGATTTGAACAATAGCCACCATGCACATTCATTGGATCATTATGCGTCACAAATGTCTCACTCGTATCACACAAGATTAGGGACCTATGAAAAACCTGTCACCCCACAAATTAAATTAACTTCAACAAAGGAAAGTTTGACCTCTTACCTTGAAATTCAAAAAATGCTTTAAAAGCTTATTTTTTAAATAACATTTAATATATAACTGCTATTGGTATGTCTACTATTGTTTTGTTACATGCCTTGAGATCTTGTATATTTCTTTTCTGTTGAAATAAAATTCATTTATTCAAAATTAATTAATTATTCATCAAAATATTTTTGTTTTATTTTTAATTTTTTTTAATAATTATATATTATTATATATCAATACTTGGTATCCCCACACTAATTAATATTATGGAGTCACTGGTCTATATGTGTACCGCAAGGTGACATCATGTACTTCTCTTTGTCCATTTGGTTGTAAGTAGCGCAAGGGACCTCGGGACAATGTATATAAACCGAAGCATGCAGTCGAGTGTGTACGCCACGACTGAACACTCTTTAATATCAGCTGTTATCGCTGCCATAGGCCAGGCCAGGTGACGTCAACTTCAGACGTTTCACCCTGCTGATATTTACCTGTTGGACAAGGATGTATGACCTAGAAAAAGGGTCATATGTGCATTTATTTAGGGGTGCATTAAAAGTGTGTATCTCTGGATGAGTTGTGCGGGCATGCAGAAGACTATTACACTATAACACTATTATGTGCGTGTTTATCTACGCGTACGCAGATGGAACGCAGATGCCACGAATGTCAACTCTGCTTGTGCTGCCAATTATTTGTACGCTACCATTATGAAGTAAGCCAAGAACAAAAAAATGCACGTGTGATCGTGGTCACATAGAATGTCTACTAAAGAAGTTTCCACCTTACTTCAGAATCATTTCATCATCATAGGTATGTATGACCTAGAAAATTTACCATGTGTACACTTATTTTTGGGTGAATCAAACGCATATCTGCGGGTGAGTTGTGCGGCATACAGAATACATGTGCGTGTTGATCTGTGGGTACGTTCTGAGGAAACGTCAAGTCTGCTCGTACTTCCAATTCTTTTGTAAGATCTCCTTTAGAAACGATTTGCCACATTGGAAAATTGTCTTATGGGTGGTAGATAATAAATAAATTGTGCATGCAAACAGACGGATATTACAACATGAAACACAGAAGTCGAACTCACGTTCACGACAATCGCCTCGCTAGGCAGACAAAAACGCATCGAATTAACCTATTTCCTCCGTTTTCGGGTAGGGGGATTGCGATAAAACTAACGCGCACTCATGTGGATGTATGCTTCGCTTGCATTATACCACTGAAGAAATGATCCGAGTTCATGATGATTATTGTTATATTATTTTGAGAGCACTTTCTAGCTGTGTACTATTTAAAAAAGCTACACAAAGAATATTATATTATGTAAGGAGGGAGACGATGTAACCAAAACGACTTTTACATGTATTCACGGCTCATGCGATATGTGAGTTGTTGCAGTTGCTATGTCATGTGAAGTCATACGCACGCATCATCGGCATACACAAGTTTAGCTCTTGAGCCAATCACTATAAAGTTATTTGATATGATGGTTTATGGTATTATATGATGGTTTATTACCCATATTATTCGTGAAAAATACAATATATTTACAGGTAAAAGGATCTATATATGTACTGCAAGGTGTCACCGTGTACTTGGTCTCTTGGTTGTAAGTAGCGCAAAGGACCATGGGACAATGTATATAAACTGACGCATGCAGTCGAGTAGTTTAGTTCATATATAGTACGCCATGACTGATCTCTCATTAATATAAGCTGTTATCGCTGTCATATCGGTGTTGGTGTTCATTGTTCTCTATCTGAACCGCTTGTTTGGACCTAAACAGGTAACGTATCACTGGATTTATCAATGTGCAGAATTTTATCCGGGGAGGGGGATTGTTTTTCGCACCAGTTTTGTGTTGTGTTGTAGTCAGACGCGCTTTTCTAAATAAGGGCAATTTAGATACAACACATAACTGTTATGCTGGTGTTATTCAAGTCGTGCTCCCTTGAATTTATCATTTGCTATTTACTTGTTAATGTGATAGAACAACATTTTTCTTGTGGGATTAACATTGATTGTACAAACCAGTATCTTAGATAGGTAAAAATATGGTGAATCATTTTTAGATTTTTGCATGATAACACAGGCAGGTTTACTTGCCATCAAAGAAGAGGCAGTAGCATCATTGATTATATAACAGTGATAATTTATTTAAAAAAAACAATCTATTTTTATTCTCTGACTACGGCCAGATATCCTATCACCTAAATACAAATGCAATCTCAGATAAAAACGTCAAAAAACTATAGAGACTCCAGTAATCACTATTTACTTATTGAATAACGAATCTGAATTACATTTTAATTAGGTATTACACGAGCATGAAGATAGACAAGCTAATGGATGAATTCAATAAAAAAAGACTTCAACCAAAATATTGACAATTCAATTGTCATTGACAACTTTTCAAAAGTCAATTGACAACGCATGTCAAATTATATCAAGATGATAAAAGTCCGAAAAATTTTAATTCGACAAAACATGTTTAATCAAAAATCGTAACTAAACAAGAGCTATTTAATATGAAAAGAGAAGTATCTTAATTGGCTTCTAATCTCGGTATGAATCCAGGCAACAAACATTTTAAGAATACAGTGCTACAACCTAAAAGGAGACTATAAATGTCTTATCAAAAAAGAAAGAGAGAATTCAAAAGTGCGATACTTAGTCAAATGAGACTAGAAATGGACTACTTTAATCCACACGAGTAGTAGAACTTAATAAAAATACTAAAAAATAACCAACAAAATAAAACATTATGTTGAAAACATTAAAGAACCGAACTCTCTCGAGCAGATTACAGACGACAACCAAGACGTAGATATTGACTTACTAGAATTGAATTCTAAAACAGTAGATTTACTTGGCACAAATATTTCAGAACTTGAGATACAAAACGAAATAAACAAACAGAAAATGGGAAAAAGCCAGGTCTGGATAAAATTTAAAATGTTAACATGTGATCTTTATGCAGAAGAAAGAAAAAATCGTTATCACCCCCACATTTAGAAAAATAAAGTTGAACTAAAATATTTTTTAAATATTAAAGATGCGAAAATAATAATAGAAATAGAATACATAGAGTTTTAAAACCAGAGAAGAAAAATTTAAAAATAATAAAGTCAGCTACCCCAAGATAAGGTCAATTTCAATTTAAAATTGTAAATAATATACTATAATTTAATTCGAATCTCTTTAAATTGAAACAATGTATGATTTATTTCATCAGGGCACCTACCCCAGTAATTAAAATTCTCGAAATGGTTCCCAGAATGCATGTCAACTGAAAGCATTACATAGTGATATAATATTCGGTTCAACAGAGTTGTCACAACTCACAAACCATCTTTTCATGCTTGGCAAAATACATTTATATAAATGCAACTAATCATTTCGGATTTTCAGAAACACATAACCATGGTCAGAGATATAAAAGAGATTGAGTAATGTATTGCAACAAAGAATTATAGTAAAATGGAGGACATCACCAAACTCGATCTTACAACTCTCAGTTTCTTTTGAAAGCATACCTTGGAATTAAGCCTTCTGTTATGTAATGTTTGTCCATATCTGTTTGATTAAGTGAAAGAAATTTTAAATTTTCCGAATTTTGCTATATACGTACTTTAATTGTTATAAATTTGTTTTAAGAAAAGTAGAAACTTCATTTTGAACAACAAATGCAAATGATCACATAATAAACAGTGTTCAAGTTATGGACAAATAACTAAAATTTGTTTTTCTCTATTTGTATGCGCCTGTATGGGATGTTTCTGCGTGGAACAAGAAGGGGTAATAAACGGTTGTGGAATAAGTAGAGGTAACGCTATAAGGGCGTAGCATCTTTGTTATAGGCACGGTCAACATATTTCCCCATCAACAAATAATTTACTAGTTGCCATCATCTGTTGACACTGACCAGCTGCCAGGGCCACACCTGCCTTACGACTTCACTGTTTAAACTAACTCTATTTGATTTGTTTGCAGAGTTTTTAACAGTTCAAATAAACTTTCTGATGACCACATTTAAGAAAAAAAAGGTTTAATTAAACTTATTTTTTCTTTTTTTACTGTAAAAGCAAATCTTTTATGGTTATACCTGATACCTGAGATAAAATCCAATATTTATTTTTCGGTTAATTGTTAAGAAAGAAGAATCACTCTCATAAGCTTGCTTAACGTGAGGATGATAAATGATGGAAAATTATTTATTATAATCCACGTCATCAAATAATATTGATGTCACTTAAATTACAGAAAACAGAGCATGATTCAATCCTTGATAGAATACCTGGAATGGCTCCAACTAGTCCTGAGTAAGTATACTTTTTTAGAAATTCAGAAGTATATTTCAATACATCTGTACCACACTTATACATATTTAAACTACTATTTTTTTATATTAAATGCAAAATGTGTTATTCACAACAGCAATTTACGGAGGTGTATTGTAATACCAGAGCATTATCTTTTTGAAAGCTTACAATAACCTGCTCGCTTGTGAGCTTGGTGAATAACTCGTACATGACCTCTCTCAAATCCAGGGAAGGAAACAGTGCTGACATCAAAGCAGCTGGAAGTATGCACCAATTCCTCATGACATTACACTTCAAATATGGACATATAGCTGTATTTTGGCACAAGAAGATTCGTGTCGTTAGTTTAGCATACCCAGAAGCATGGAAGGATGTCATCAAATTGTTTGACAGACCAGGTAAATTTGTATCACTAATTATTTCGCTTTGTCGTAAATTGTTTTATTTGAAATGTTACATCAATAATATTTGATGCATATGATTGAAATAAACCAGGAATTGTATATTGTAGTGGTTCTCAAATTCTGATCATTGTAAATAGATAACAAGATCGCTCGTATTGCATGAAAGGCGCGCATTGGCACATCAACAAACAGAGTAACTATTAGAGTGTCAAACAAGGCTAAGCGTGAACGTTGCCATAGAATAGGTCTGAAGAATCTAGAGAATGGATACAGGTAGAGTGAGTACAAGAATTAAACTAAAGTGGATGGAATAAATATCCGTCAAGAACATCAGGTTAATACTACGAAAACAATTGCAATTCGCCTATTGCCTATTGATTTTCAGTATGCAGGAATGATGTTTCACCCTCTGTTCATTTAACGAGTGCACATAATAAGATCTTATAATTTCACATTTTTTAGGTGAAATCTTTGAATTCGTCAACTGCCTAATAGGTTCGAAAAGTATACAGTTTGCTAATGGAGATGAAGGAAAACAGCGACGTCACATCCATGACAAATCATTTACCCACAGGGCAATTGAAAATTACTACAACAGTTTTCAAAAGGTAAGATGCTAGTATCTTTATTTCAGGATTGCTATTCATATGAATAAAGCTGACAAAGCACTACTAACACACACTCTACTGTCATTTTCTTTTTATCAAGGCTGCTGATGATGCAACTGATAAAATAGGATTGCTTCCTCCCTATGATCATATAAACCTGACAGAGCACATGTCCATGTTTGCGATGAACGCTGTGAATAGAGCTATATTTGGGGATTTCTTCAAAGACGATAATCATGCAATTACATTGTTGCGACATTATGAGAAAGTGAGTCTACACATTATTAAATTCATATTATAACTAAACACCCAAATGATTTTAAACATTCCTACAGTCGAACTTGTATAATTTAAAGATAAATATTTATTAATTATTATTATTATTATTATTAAGATTTTTTTTATTAAAACAACAAATACGTTCCAAAAACGAATACATTTTTGTGGCAGTAACCTAAGATCACCAAACCACCAAACATGCATACTAATATAGCACACTATATGATATTATATTAAATTATCAGCCTTTTCAAACAAAATATGGTTTATTTATCTGAAAGTTCTTGAAAATGAATAAAAATGTTGTTAAGAGTAGAGGACAGTTCATCATGACACAATTATGGTACAATGGCCATTTCCTCATGTTATCATTTCTAGAAAAACAGACGTTGAGTTGTTGCCGTGTTGTAGCTTCATGGTCATATTCGGGATATTACGTGGAGCTTTACAGTGAGCTTTAAGCCCAATCGCCAAATAGAATCTAGAAGCCCTGATAACCATGGGTAAAACAATTTCCCGGCATCACATGTAGCAGAGTTGTGATGATAAGAAATATCAGAGATAACAGAATATCAGTCGATAACCAAATAAAATTGGTGGCCAACCTGCTCAGTGGAATTCTAGGATATATAGCCAACTTCCGTATTCACAACAAAAAAATACAAATTAAATTAAAAGTTGTGTTTTGCGAAGTTAGAGTTATACTGTGAATAAACAAAGTTTTATCGTGAGAAAATGAAGTTGTTTAATTAGAAATGAAAGTTGCATTCTCAGACATTAGGTTTCTGTTATGAAAATTCAAAGATCCCTGGAAATGAATTGGATTTGCAAATAATCAACGAGGTCACTTAACCAATTACTACACATGTCTATAATGCTGTAACAAAATTGTCAGCGCCCAGCTAGCATCAATTTGTGAATAACGTTAATAATACACATTACTGTCTGTTAAAAATAATTTACAGTCCTTCAACATTCAATTACCATGGGATTATACAAATTAATATGCGCATATACATGCAATGATAGATTAATTATAAAATGAAATAACAGACTTAAAGTGACAGGTTACAAATATCCTCATGCCAGATTTGGAGTCATGGCCATCATGACGAACCCTATCACTATCACCAAGTCTGTCCTGTACTGTACACTGATCGTCACACGTTCTAATTATGCTCTAATCTAAATGTTCTGATGTCGCAATCCGATGGGGGGAGGGTGATAGGATTATTTAAATAGAACAGTTTAAGGTTTACTTCACACTAAGAAAGTAAGGTGAACCAGTTCATATTATTTTCTGTTGTCATACGCAAATTGATCCATTCAGCGGTTCACTCATAGAGAATGAAGTAAAATATTTATAATTGTTGTGACCAAAATGCTACAATTATGTATATTAATGGGATGGAATGATCATTTTTTGGGAGTCATATATCATGTTTGAATATTCATTATGACATATCGTTCATTTCTAATCTGAGACAGTAATAAGATAATTATGCATTATTATATTTTTGAGTACCCATGGCCATATACGGTCATTTCTTTATCTGAAACAGTAATAAGATAATTATGCATATCGATGAAGTCAGACGACCCCACCTCCATAGCCGCCAAACCACGTAACCTAGCCATGTGATATTCTGAGAATAGAACGCATCCTTATAATTTCAGATCAATCTATAACCAATACAGTACACGCAAATGAACAATCCACGTATCGTGAGATTTTAATAATACTTTAGACAGCATGTAACTTAGTTTAGATTACATCATCTTTTCTATTTGATGATGATGTGTAACATGCGTTTCATCATATTGATTCAGAATACTGTGTATATACAGGTGATGGGCATTCTGAACCAAAGCCTCTCTGAGAGTACTGAGACTACCAGTACAGAGACGGTATTCAATTCACTTGATTAATGTTTTTATATGCAACAATGCCAACGTCACATTACAATTGTATATTGGTATATTTAACAAAAGATAGTATGCCGTATTATATTTACTAAGAAATAGTTGTTTATTACATTTCAAAGTCAACAATGAGATTACTGTCTTCTTTCCCAGCCCTGAAAAAATGGCATGACTTCATACGAAGTTTGATTCAGCATCGACGTGACAACCCACCTGATGTGGACGAAGATTGGACGTTTATTGATAATTTGATGGAGAATTCATCAACAGAGGAACAACTTTTTTCAGATGTCATCACATACTACATTGCCGGTTTTCATACAACAACATTCAGTAATATCACGTTTGTTTTTAGTACGTATTTTCATATTTTATCATATCGTATATGGTCAATATTTAAATTTCATGTCACTCATTACAGCGCTGGTATGGATAATTTATTTTATGTGTAAAGACCAAAGTGTTCAGGCTAAGCTGCATGAAGAGCTTCTAAGAGTTCTTGGCCAAGACCAGAATGTGAATAATGTGAACATTAAACATCTTCAGTATGTATACAGCTCATATTTGCACATTGTTATGTTTTCAAAAATAATTCTGGTTTCATTCAAGCTATATTTACGATTATTAATTTTAAGGTACATGAGACAAGTGATTGATAAGTCGATGAGATGTTCTCTAATAGCCCCATTTGGTGCAAGGGTGAAAATCAAAAAAGACATGAATATACAGGGATATACAATACCAAAAGAAGTTAGTAATTTATCTTATCTACATATTTGTTAGAGCAACATAGCACCTTATAGATTGCGCTAACGATCATGTACAGACGTTTTTTTCAGTAACTTTAATTTATATTGTTTTGATTAACTTACAATACCTTGCCATGACTCGTACAATGACTTTCACTTAACATTTATAGATTAGCTAAACATATAGTGTTATATATAGTGTAACATTTTGACAATTTCTGTCAGCGTGATCCAAATGATGATGTCATGTTCTCAACAAATTGAATTGAGCGAATTGAAATTTGAGTATTATTTTTCTTTATTTTCGTAGACACCAATGATGCAGGCATTTGGCGTTGTTCATCGTGATGAGAAAATATGGCCTGACCCAGAAAGGTAGACAATATGATATAATAGTAGTGTGCAACTTTGCTTTTGTATGAACATCATGCATTTCAACTTCAGCTGCTTAAACCACCTTTTTGACGATGGGCATTTATGTTGAGGATAATCTAATGTATTGCAGTATTTCTTCTTTATTCAGATTCGACCCTGGAAGATTTTCTCTGGAAGGTTGTAGGAAACGTCATGCATTGGCGTTCACTCCATTTGGATTTGCTGGTAAACGGAAATGTCCAGCATTTCGTTTTTCATATGCTGAGATTTGTGTATTTTTGTCAACGCTTTGTAGGAAGTATAAATTTCAACTTGTCGAGGGTCAAACCATTGGCAGAAAATATGGATTTGTGACCACACCAAGTGACGATGTCTGGGTCACAGTTACTAAAAGAGAGTAATCTTGTCACCCTATTAGTATGTTCTAAAAAAGAGATAATATTGCTACGCGTTTTGTAACTGCATTCATGTTTCAAATTCACTTGCATGTCAAAATCTAGCATGATCTGTTTTATGTCGTGTCGAGTGAGCAATATTTACTTGATTTGAGTGCAATGTACATTTTTAATATTCCATTTTCTTATAACAACAGTGTATGTTACTTCAGTTGATTCTGGAATAACATAAAAAATGGCAAATCTTTTTATTTGAGACAAGCTTAATTATCAATACTTTTAATTTTGATAGGACATTAACCTTAGATTTGGTGAAAATTTAAAAAATCACTATTTCATTTTCAGTTTATGATGATTGCAATAGCAAAATGGCAACTGAGACTGAAAATAAATAAAATGCCCATAAAATGTTTATTTGATATAAAGCATTCTGATGGGTTGTTATCACATTTATTCTACTAATAGTCTTTGAAGAATAAAATAATCATTATTAAGGTTATTTCACATCGTTCAACTTTTTTGCATTATGAATTTGGCAAGATTCATTATATAAAGTCACTTTGTCTTTGATGGTATGTCATTTTTGCCCATTTCAGAGTTCACCTAAAAAAATTTGATTTAATTACAATAATATGTGGTTAGACATTATTATATATTCAGAAGTCTGAAACTCGGGTACTCATGCTGATCATATTTAAACGTCACTCATTAATCATATCTAATGTTCCACATCTGCCCATGCATTCAAACAGCAACATTTCAGTACTAAAATTGCATCCAAATCAAGCATTCCAACATTCTCATATTCTCATCAAAAATGTTAATGTAAATTTAGAACCTAGAATTTAGAATACGGCATTATTTGAATGCTCAGTGTCTTAATTAACATATTACATATTCTTGAATGAATTTTGCCGCGCCAAATAAACATATTTTCCTTTTGCAATAAAACGACGGCTATGGATTTCTGCTTCGCTTTTATTTGAAGTGGTCACTAGAGCACTGCAGAAATGGTCCTCTGAGTTCATGAACATTTTGTAACATTTTTACTATACTATATTTGGAAGCACTTTCTAGCTGTACAATCTATTAAAAAAAGTGCACAAAGTATATTATATTAAAATATTTTTAATAGGGTTACAGTAATATTTATTTAATAAAGAAAACAACACAAAGACGTGACTATATCGTTTTACATATGAATTTCGGAGGGAGAGTTGTAACCAAAACAAGGGATTTAATTAATTGTATACAAAGAGAGTTAAGAAGAAAGATTTAAAATATAGAGTTTGTCTATAAGGAAGAAGAATTAGCAGACATGCAGGCATGAAAGTCTTTAAATGCAAACAGGGATTGTAAAAGTTAATTTCTTGGTCATGTGGACCATAGTTTGGGACGTTGGTTTATTTTAGTATATCCACACATGTGGTTTTTATGCTAATTGTAAACTGTACTGTGCACTGGTAATGTAACTGATTGCTGAATCTTTCAATTCTATCGTTTCCTTCGTGATATAAGTCGTTAATCGCATTTCTTTGTAGTGACTTCGGCATTTATAGTTGCAAACGCACGTGGTCGAATGCCGAGATGCTGACAAAAGCTATAGCATTTACAGTTGAAAACGCACATCAACTCGTTCGATTAACTATACTAAGAGGTGTCTTTGAAGACATGGTACTTTTACGTACAGTTTACCTGGTTACCCCAACAGTATAGAAGACTTAACCTAAAAAGAGTGTCACATCAAGGTGATACATACACAATTATACTGGCACCTTTATGAGTGTTGTGTGTTGAATCGTGTTCATTTTTTAACATATTAAAGAATTATTACATACTCGAGATATACACTTTTTTATAACAACTCTGTGATTCAGCCAAGTTTTACTGGTCTGACGAATTCTAGTAATAATCACAAAAGTATCGAGAAGCCCTTTATCCAGATCAGTGTATTTCTGTCAGTGTGATGTTGAATGAAATGAGATATATGATTCAAAACTAACTTAAGGTAGAGATGCAGTTTACCTGACAGGTATTTTAATTAGTTAATTAGGAAACCAAGATGACCTCCCTTGTCCACAAAACTATATATTTTTGGAAAGCTTATTGTATGAATTTTAAAATTTTGTTTATTTTTTTTTTGGACACTGTAGTTTGAAATATGCACAAAAATTTGCTTTTTTGGTCAAAAGTGATTTAAAAAAAAATAGCTTCTAAACCATGCTTCTGTTTCCTGTCAAAATTGGTTTATGGGTACATATGTTTACTATGAAGAAAGTGCCGTCTTGCAAAACTGTCTACCAGTTGTCAATTTTGCAGGGCAGCAGCTCAAATTTCAACTACTTCAAGTTTATGCATAAATTAACACCCAGGCTAGTTGTCTGTACGATTGTTGTAACACTGTTCAACCAAAAACAATACCCCGATGGCATTTTGAAGATAAACACATTGTCAATCATTTGGGAAAATTTCAAAACAAAAGATCAAAGCGTTTAGGAGCTATTTTTTTTTTAAAGTTCTGGGATGTGCACTAAAAAGAAGCTGAGATAATTGCTAATTTGCATAACAATTCACTCAGTAAGAAGTTTGCTAATGCTCATAATTAAAATGGCTGTAACAGTTCCAAATTTTAATGTATTATCGTTTTGTTAAAAGTTAAATATAGTGCATAATATGGAGATCCAGTCATTTCTTTTTTTCACCATGTTTCTTTTTATTATTTATGTACACCCTTGCTAAATCTTGCTAAGCATTGAAAAGAGAGAATGTTCGCACCTGTTATCTATATTTTAAAATCATTTTTTGAGTATGTTCCACTATTCACAATTCTACAAAATTTTAACAGTCTATAACCAAGACAGTTTGGATAATAAAAAGCAAAAAAAAAATATTTCACTCCCAAGTGCCCACGAACATGCATCTCTACCTTAAACAATAAATTTATAAAAATGCACACAATACCAATATGTACGTTTTGCAATCAGGGACTGCCAGCTTTAGAATTCGATCTCTGTCCGTCCATGCGCCCGCCCGTCCGTTCGTCTGTCCGTCCAGAGTCATATTTCAGTATCCCGTGGACCAAATCTGTTCATTCTTTGCATGTGCCTAGTACTTTACCTGGGACATGTGCACATACAGTGGTTTATTGATTCAATATGATATCTTATGCATGCTTGTTCAAATTTGGTACATACAATATACATTTAGGATACATGACTATGTGGATTCGTTTAAGGATTGAATCAAAGATGGCCAACCGGCATCCAGCTTGTTTTTTGAAAAATGTGTTGTTTTTTTCGACAGGATTTGTCGGTTTTTGTTCATATTTGATACAAACATTGTACATGTTGAGAAACATGTCCTTGATGATTTGTTTCGTGCTCGAATCCAAAATAACCAACTGGCAACCATCTTGTTTTTTTCAAAATGTATTATTGACATGTTTTTTTCTCTCTTCCAATTATATATTATACATGTTAGGATACATGTCCATGACAATTAGTTTCACAATCAGGTCAAAGATGGTTGACTGCCTGCAATCTTGCTGTTTGACCAAACTACTATATCTGTACATGAGCCCAAACAAAGGAATTTAATTGGGATAAAAAAATGCATGAATAGCATATCCTGTTTAATTTCTGACCATATATTTCGATTTTGGAAGAGTAATTTAATACACCTAATTTCTGTTGATACTAGGCCAACCATTTATTCACTAATAGGCTTTTGGTCCGTAACTTTATTTTTGGCATGAATAATTTCCCCTAATTCCAATGGGGACTATGTCATTAACAATGGCTTGTTAAATAGATAGGCTTGTGGCTGCATGCCAGCACAGCTACTATACCAACAAAAGTTTCCCCTAGCTTGGGGAAAATACATCGCTGTGAAGAAAATTCTACAATCATACTATAACACCTACACTAAAAAAATTAAAATTATAACAAAGAAAGCCAAAAATACTGAAGGGAAGGGGGAGTGGGGAAAACGGTCTGCCTTGTAACCAAACATTGCAGTGGAATGAAAAAAGAGAACCATAGGTTGTACCTTTATAGTAGAAAGGTGCTAGCCACACCATAATTACATTTCAAAGATCGCATTTGAATAATCACGGTATTAAGTAATGTAGTTTGAAAGTTACATTTGCATATTAATAACAATCTGCTGAAATACATGTAAACAAACAGTGGCTATTGGTATTGTAAACACATATTATATCATAATATTACACTACAAAAATTGTGTTTTAATCCAGCAGTAGTCATACATAAATATTATTTTTCTCCAGTGGTAAAATGCCAGTCGCCAAAGAAAATATTGTTCCAGTAACTTGTTGTTTTTCACCCAGATCTGGTGTATAGTACCGGCTGGAAACTTTCATTCTAATAATGAATCATCAGACAGTGGGTTCTCAACATAGCTCTGAATATAACTTAAGTTTTTAACAGGCCAGTCAATGTAAATACAACTGCTGAATGAGTAATAAGGATAACCAGACTATGCATAAAATCTCGGCTACTTTTACTGTGGTGTCATGAGGCTTTGTAAGCATCCTTTATTCTATGGTGTGCTACAGTGATACAGGCTTCTATCATCATTCTGTGAGACTGTATGAACTGCTCTGCGATCTCCTGCTATCAGCGGTGCCCTCCAGAGTAACAGCGTTTCTCTGCAAGCAAAACTCCCGTATTTCTTCGTCGTTGTGTTGCGGAAGCCATTGACTGTCATCAATTTTCACATCCTGGTTATCACCAATTCACACTTTTCTAGGCAATACCCTATTTTAGTGAATTTATTCATTGTATTATTCTGTGCTTTGTTTCTTATTTTGAGAGGTATTAAAGCCAGGAGCTTTAACTTGATATGTTGGTTTATGTGTATTTCATTTCCAGTACTATTGTCTTGTCTAACCCATTCTAGCAGTGTAAGAACCCCCTGTCCAGTGTGAGTTCAGAGGGTGCCCCTCTCAATAGTAATAAGCAGGCCTTACACTGTAACAGGCTTGCATAGCACAACAAATCGCGAACCTCCCACTTATGCCTGCACAGATTACTGTAACCCTCCCCTCTACACTAGCATGAAAATCAGTGACCAACCCCCCAAAACACCGACCTACCCCCCCTGTACTTTCTGTCCAGTCTTTTATGATTTATATCGGCCAATCCTAAAATGGTATGTGACACAATCGTTAGTACTAATCATTATTAATGTGATGGCAATGAGTTCGTGAGTAGAATTTTTGTATATTTTATTATATTATATTAACTATTTGACAATTGTAACACTCTCCTTGTCATCATGTGCTGAGCGCATCTTACAATGTCCCCTGTCTATGTGTACCACAAGGTGACGACATGTACTTTGCTCGTTTGTCCTTTGATTGTAAGTAGCGCAAAGAATCATGGGACAATGTATATAAACCGACGCATGCAGTCGAGTGTGTATTAGGTCATACATAGTACACCATGACTGATCTCTCATTAATATCAGCTGTTATCGCTGTCATATCGGTGTTGATGCTCACTGTACTCTATCTGAACCGATTGTTTGGACCTAAACAGGTAACGTATCACTGGACTTAAATGTGCATAATTTCATCCGGGGAGGTGGGATTGTCTGTCATACCAGTTTGTTGGTGTGTCGGTCAAAGGAATTGGTGTGTAAACCATATTTCTGGGATTACATTTGTGTTGTGTTATGTTCAGACGCACTGTGAGGCCTTGTCTAAAGTAGGGTCATTTAAATACAGCACAGAACTGTTAGGCTGGTGTTATTCCTTTCGTGCATACGTCGGTGTACCTGGCTTGTCTGGTCGACGCAGGCCACACAAAACGTCTACCAAAGATGTTTACACCTTTATTTACCAGTTGCAATATTAACACTTGACGTGATAGGACCACTTCTATCTTGTGGATTGACATTGATGATATATATATCAGTATCTTTATTGGGTAACATATAACCCTGTGATGTTGACATTTGTACAGCCATTGACAATATAGTTAAATAAATCTTTATCAATGCCATAGGGTCCAAAGAATTTTTTTTATAATCAACAGTGCTACTATATATTTATTTAAATAATGATTCCCTATTCAAATGGATTGCAATAAATAAATCAAATAAAAAAATACAATGTAATGGTGTTCATTGTATGCCGTACAATGGCTGTAATGATACCTCCTCAATAGAAAACAACCTGTGTCTGATACAGTACGTGACTTATTTGTCAATATGCTGAATGTCAGGGTACACGAAACCGCACAACTTATAAATAGCTAAATATAATGTTTTTTCCCATTTGTATGCACCTGCATGAGATGATTGTGATTCTGTGCGGATTAAGACGAAACACTCAATGACCGCTGAATTAGTAAAGGTAACACCACATGGGTGTTACCTACTTATGAAATGGCTGCTTCAATTTAATTTAAAAACGCCGTCAAGATCAACATAATTATTTACTAATTGTCACCATCTGTTGACACTGACCAGCTGCCAGGATCATAACTGTCTTACGGGTTCACTGCTTAAAATAACTACCTGCTTCAAAGTTTGCACATTTTTAACAATTCAAATAAACTTCGTCATTATCACATTTCAGGAAAAAAATTCTCAACATAATCTTTTTTTGATTATAATTTTTTGATTTTTTTTCTTCATGCAAATTATACCGGAAGCCGGAGATGAAATACATTATTTATTTATTTTGGATGATTTTTGAGACTGAAATTTTTTTTCATAAGCTTGGAAGTGCCTGCCGAGAGCGATGCTGTACAACAAGATAAAATATGGAAATGAGGGAAGCAACCAAGTGAATATGATATAAATTGGTCGGTAGAAAATCATTGAACCCAATATCCAGAAAATTATTTATTTTAATCCACGTCACCAAACAATATTGATTTCACTTAAATTACAGAAAACAGAGCATGATTCAATCCTTGATAGAATACCTGGCATGGCTCCAACTAGCCCTGAGTAAGTATACTTTTTGGAAATTCAAAGTTTTATCTCAATATATCTCTACCACACTTAGACATATTTAATTATAGACTATGTTTCTTCGTATTTGATGTAAAATGTATTATTTACAGTGACAGCAAGTTACCGAGGTGTGTTGTATTTCCAGTGAATTGCAATAAGGGCATTAGTTTATTGAAGGCTTTAAATGAGTGTAATAAGTAACGTACAATTGCTCGCTAGTGAGCCTGGTGAATAACTCTATATATCGTATATGACTGTTATTAACACCCTCAAATTCAGGGAAGGAAACAATCCTGACATCACAGCTGCTGGAAGTATGCACCAATTCCTCATGACATTACACTCCAAATATGGACATATAGCTGTATTTTGGCACAAGAAGATTCGTGTTGTTAGTTTAGCATCCCCAGAAGCATGGAAGGATATCATCAAATTGTTTGACAGACCAGGTAAATTTGTATCACTAATTGTTTAGTTTTGTTAATGAATTGTTTTCTCTGAAATTTTATATTATTAATTATTGATGCGTGTGGTTAAAATATACCAGGTCATATATATTTCATTCTTTTAATCGCCGAATTGAATATTCTCGTGGTTATCAAACTCTGATCATTGTAAATAGATGATTTTCTGTTCAATGCTTGATCGCACATATTGCCTCAAAGATGCAGGTGGAATGTATGCCACAACCCTTTTTAAGGGAATATGGAATTGAAAGATCTTTACTTAATTGAAATTAACCACGATCAAACGTGTGTAACACACTATTGAATGTGAAAATACCCCAAAAATGTTCACGTTTGTCGTATCCCACGCGATGTTTAAGTCTCTATGACGCTATGATCTTTGTTCTGTGTTCATGAATTATACCACTCTAGGTCACGTGTACCATTGTTCTAAGCGATTATTTATTACTGTAACACCTAATGTTCTTATGCAGATTAGTAAACCTTCACGGTTACATTGATATTCAAATTAGTAAACCTTACAGTTTTATGAATAGACTTAATTAACATATGAATAAAACTGTAAGGCTTACTAATTTCAATATCAATGTAAACGTGAAGGTTTACTGATTTACACATGATTTACACAATATTTACTTTTTTATCGCCATGAATTTGAATAGAAATGCCTTGAAAGAAACCTCTAGATTCACTTTGAATGGTGATCGCCATTGGTTGCGTACGATGAGGTGATGACACGCGTTCTTTTTGGTCCTTGATGCCAAGTTCAACCACTGGATTTGGCGGCTGCAGAGCATCAGACACTGTTTTCTGTAGTGAAGTGCTGGTTCGCGTGTATGTGCGCAGACCATCATCAGAGCGGTACCCGGTGCGTTCTTTGATAAGTTGCTCATCGAAGCCTTTCTCGTATAGAGAAGTGGCTGCGTAACCTCATAACATAAAATTTAACCAGTTATACATTAACAAATAACAAAGAAGTCAGCATTTCAAGCTCGCAATCCACGTGCATAATTACCAAAACTTAATATTCTATTGCCTCGTACAACAGAAAAGACGAACAAGCGTGTATTATTAACTTACTAATGAACGTGATTGCAATTGTAACACATACTAACCTTGTCAGAATGACCTGTGTGGTATCCTGTTATGCCTGCCAGATCACACATTCTCGACGAATATTGGCGTAGAGTAGTATTCCTGATCTTTTGCTTAGAATATTTCAATGTCCCATCCCCTTGCTGACACAGGGGCGTAGGTAAAATGGAGCAGATTGGGGTAGACAATTCAAGAACTTTGTCAGTAGTTTTATCACACAACGCTGATTTTTTGGATTACTATACTGGCGAACGTTTTTGTATGGCACTTTTCTTGCATTGTATAGCCCACCTTGATTGTTCTCACATGGCCGGCCACAAAACTCGATATATTCCCCATCTTTGTCCGTCCCTTTAACAGACTGTTCAACTGTGAGATTCGAATGTTCATCGACTGCTCTTAGTGCAAATATTTTACACACATATAAATAGGCAGCATAGCTCAAAGTAGTTGCTGCCTGTCGCTTCTGCAAACTTATACCGCGTTTGTCAATATACTTCAAAACGCCATCGAGCGTTTTATGGAATTCGATGAATTCTAAACATTGTGTATCCATGAAACGAAGATCAGAACGTGGACATTCATCGCGTAGATATCGTTGTATAGCACTACACAGTACGCGGAGACTACTGGGCGGAAATTCGGTCTTGGCTGCGCACCTCCACGATGAGACGAAAAAACACAACCAGAAGGTTAGCTCTTTCGCATGTATCTCGTGGCACAAGCTTGGTAAGGTAATAAATGAGTCGCTACTGGAAACATTATACTTTTCAACACGCTCATTTCTGCCACGTCCCCATGCATCCCAAACAGAGACGCCCCAGTTGGTTGACTTGCGTGTGTTTGCAGGGATGCGCGATTCTTGTATTGCAGTTGATTGTTCCTTACCAACCGGAAGTGCAAATCTATCACGCTCTTGTTTTTTCGTTAGCGTGAAATCTTCGTCCAGTGGCGTTTCGATATCAAACTGAGAACAGAAACTTTCAATTTCGGGAGTATACTCAGAGTCGAAGACGTCCGAATAGGTGTCCATGCTGAAGTAATGCCAGAGTGGGAATGAATGACACGCTCGTGTTTTGTCGCACAAATTACAGACTGATCCACCTGGGTATGTGTAGTCAGTCTGACGATAAATCATATCATTGCATTACATCACGGATTACAGTACCAATCAGAAGAAATAAATGCATACCCAGATGTAGGGCGATGGCTAATTCATATGCAGATCCGTATTGGTCGACCACCGAATAACATCGCAAAACCGTGGATATTTTTTTATTTGTATTCCCATTTCCTCTTATTTCGTGGTATAAGTCGGTAATTGAACGGGTTCTCGGCCTCGTGAGGTTTACAACATTCTACCCACAACAGTGAAGTTTAGAATTGTAAACCTACTCGAACCCGTACAATTACCTATACTAACACAAGATTTCGAAGTGAGCGGAAAATAGTCTACCAGAGTCATACAGAGACAAAATAGGTTGAGCATCAGTATTACCGTAGAGTACGTCTGATGGATCTAAAGAAAGGACAAATGTATAGTTTGTACAGTAAATTTAAAAAAACAACATGATCAATACTAAGTAAACAATCGCAAGTCGCCTATCCCAACTTACAAGCCCATGGTTTTCAGTATGCAGGACTGATATTCGATCCTCTTTGGCAACTTTAACGAGTTCACATGACAATATCTCCATTTGTTTTGTTGCAGCTGAAATCTTCGAATTCGCCAAACCTCTAGTAGGTTCGACAAGTATACAGTTTGCTAATGGAGATGAAGGAAAACAGCGACGTCACATCTATGACAAATCTTTTACTCACGAGGCAGTTGAAAATTACTACCACATTTTTCAAAAGGTGAGACTCTAGAATTTTTGTTTGGTGATTGCTATTCTTATGAATTGATAACATTCTCATCAAATAACCTACGGAGCTGACAAAGCACTACTCACACCCCCTGTCATTTGTTTTATTAACAAGGCTGCTGATGAGGCAACTGATAAAATAGGATTGCTTCCTCCCAATGATCATATAAATTTGACAGAGCACATGTCCATGTTTGCTTTGAAAGCTCTGAATCGAGCTCTATTCGGTGATTTCTTCAAAGACGATAATCATGCTGTTACATTGTTGCGTCATTATGAGAAAGTGAGTATAATTGTTATTATATTATATTATATTATCTGCCTATTTAACAATATTATTTATTATGTATGTCTAATGATTTTTACGATGCCTGAAGGTAAAGGTATACCGAGTCACAAAATGTTGTACACTCTATAAAAGCTCGTGAAAATCGATACAAATATTATAATTATCTTAAAAGGATTTGATTGAAATAAAATTAATCTGTCATTTGAACAATAGCGGGGCTACATGGTTTGCAGGAATGTAAATAGAAGCACGTAGATTGTCGTACATGTCACAGTCTCCTTGAAAAAATATCGTTCAATGATTAGTAATCGGTCATCCAAATTCAAAAGAATATTCAAAAGATATGTCATATCTTGGATTATGACATGTACTGAATCTCAACTCCTAAAATAATCACTGAAAAAACCACATTAGTAAATTAACAATGTATTAAAATGTGCAGACATTCAGTATATAGAGGAAGTGTCGAAGATTGGTCTGAAATACGCGATTCCAATATAAGGGGATGGTTGGGGTAAATTAAATACTTTTTTTCATTATATAGGAAGTTAATAATATGCGCTAATAGAATTATCATAACCGCATTTCTTTTATCTTCCAAACTTAGTAATGCGATATTCCTTTCAAGAACGTGACGATGGTTTTAGTTGGACTCGGGTTTAGCTGAATAGTTAACACTATGTAGTATCAAATACAACGTAGTACACATTGAGACCACTTGTTGAAAAACAATGACAAATCTAAAATAGTATATCTATATAACTCGTATCATCCGTTTCTCTGTTGATGCATAAACGCAAATATGTTTTGAATATTACAATGTTGCCATTCTGTATCACTAGCACTCTTACTACTAAAATATAATTTGCATGGACTGATACAATGAACACATAGAAGCGATGTATTACAAATACATTTTTTTCGTTGTTTATATTACGATAATTTCGATATCGTTTTAGAATCAATGTTTTATTTTATTCAGTGTAGTGGTATTTGTTTGCATTTAAACAAGATCAAGAGGGGGAAACCATAACCACGGCGAACTTAGAAACTATGACCTCCCTCCAATGCTAGACGTGCAGTTTATTTTAGCTCCAAGGCCCCCTGAGCCATAACACATTGTTTTGATTTCTGTTTACCATAGTATGTTGATGGAACCACAGAAAATGTTCACACAAGTTGTCTATATGCATAACGCAATGATTTTACCGGCTTTTCACGGTTTTCCGCGATCGCACCCACCTTTTGTACGGACCACAGTGTACAATATCTATGTATCTATAATTTCATTATAATTAAAAAGTGTAAAAGCGATTATGTTAGTATTTTTATTTGGGTGATATAGTCCAACAACTGACATACCGCTTAAGTACAATTGGTCCCGCAATGAAGGAATGATGGTGTCTATCCTTGAAGTTTCAGTCAGTAGATTCATTCATGGCACTCTGGTGCTAGCTGTTGTACAAATGATGACTTGGCAATATGAATTGTGCATATTATTGTGTAACACAAATATCCATTGCCATATCTTGTTTGGTGCCTTAATTATAACATTTGTTGCATGTTCCGGTCTGCAGCAGTGGTATGACAATTATGCATATTAATGAATTGGCATGACCATATATGGTCATCTGTTTTAGTTCAATACCTTCAGTGCTTGGTATATTCATTATGCATATCAATGACGGCACCACCTTTATGGCCACCAAACCATATAACTTAACCTTTTAATATTTAGAAAAAAGAACCCATCTTTACAGTGGAATGCTCTTGCAAGATGTCACGTAATTGTCCAATCCATCAACATATTGAATTTCCTGCATGTATCATGAAAAATTCTAATAATACTCACAACAACATGTAACTTACTAGGTTTAGATTTCTCCATTTTTTCTTGAAAATGATGTGTCACATGCGTTTCATCATACTGATTCAGAATACTGTGTATATTCAGGTAATGGAAATTATGAGCCAAAGCCTCTCTGAGAGTACTGAGAGTACCAGTACAGGGACGGAATTCAACCAAGGTATTCAATTCACTTGATTATTGTTTTTATATGCACCAATACAAACGCTACATTAAAATTGTATATTGAATGATTTAACTAATATGATATGCCGTATTCGAATTCCTATGAAATATATGTTTATTACATATCAAAGTTAATCACTGTCTGCTTTACTGTCTGCTTTACCAGCCTTAAGAGAATGGCATGACTTAATACGAGATTTGATTCAGCATCGACGTGACAACCCAACATATGCAACAATGCCAACGTCACATTACAATTGTATATTGGTATATTTAACAAAAGATAGTATGCCGTATTATATTTACTAAGAAATATTTGTTTATTACATTTCAAAGTCAACAATGAGATTACTGTCTGCTTTCCCAGCCCTGAAAAAATGGCATGACTTCATACGAGATTTGATTCAGCATCGACGTGACAACCCACCTGAAGTGGACGAAGATTGGACGTTTATTGATAATTTGATGGAGAATTCATCAACAGAGGAACAACTTCTTTCAGATGTTATCACACATTTTGTTGCAGGTTTTCATACTACAACATTAGGTAATAACGTTTTTTTCTAATACGTATTGTGATATGTTACCATAATGCATATGGTCAATATTTAAAGTCTATGTCACTCATTACAGCGTTGGTATGGACAATGTATTATATGTGTAAAGACCAAAGTATTCAGGCTAAGCTGCATGAAGAGCTTCTAAGAATTCTGGACCAATACCAGAATGTGAATAATGCGAACATTACAAATCTTCAGTATGTATACAGTTCATATTTGCACATTGTTATGTTTTCGAAACTAATTCTGGTTCAATTCAAACAATCTTTACATTTATTCGTTTTAAGGTACATGAGACAAGTGATTGATGAGACGATACGATGCTCTGTACTAAGTCCATTTGGTGCGAGGGTGAACCTCGAAAAAGACATGACAATACAGGGATATACAATACTGAAAGGAGTGAGTATTTATCTTTGCTACATATTTGTTAGAGCAATATTTACACTTTATACGTTGCGCTATAGATTATGTGAGGAAGTTTGTTTTCAGTAACTTTATTTTATATTGTTTTGATACCTGACAAATGACTAAAATGATGACTTGATATTGATAGATTAGGTGAACTTATAATGTATTAATGTTCTCTTTATTTTCGTAGACACCAATGATGCAAGCATTTGGCGTTGTTCATCATGATGCGAAAATATGGCCTGACCCAGTGAGGTACTCAATATGATATAGTAGTAGCGATTACTGTTTTTTTGGTATGAACATCATGCAGCTCACCTTTGCTGTTCTAAATAACTTTTTAGATAATGGGTACTTAATTATGTGTTTTTGATATTTTGATGAAATGCAAAGTAGCCGTTGTTGACATATCCAATGTATAATATCATATAATATTTCTTCTATTTCAGATTCGATCCTGAAAGATTTTCTCTGGAACGTTGCAGGAAACGTCATGCGTTGGCGTTCACTCCATTTGGATTTGCTGGTAAACGGAAATGTCCAGCCTTTCGTTTTTCATATGCTGAGATTTCTGTATTTTTGTCAACACTTTGTAGGAATTTCGAATTTCAACTTGTCGAAGGTCAAACCATAGACAGAAAATATGGATTTGTAACCACACCAAGTAATGACGTCTGGGTCACAGTTACTAAAAGAGAGTAATCTTGTCACCATATTAGTATGTTCTAAAAGAGAGTTAATATTGTTTCGGGTTTTACCGTGTGCCTTCATTCATGTTTCAAATTCACTTGCATGCCAAAACCTAGCATGACCTTTTCTATGTTGTGTCTGGTGAACAACTAACCATATGTGTAAACATTTGCTCGATTATAGTGCAATGTACATTTTGAATATTCCAGTTTTTATAAAAACAGTGTATGTTACCTTTGTTGATTCTTACATATTCTATAAAATCAACATGTGAAAATGGCAAATCATTTTACTTGAGGCAAGCTTAATTATAAATATTTCTAATTTTTATAGGACATTAACCTAATTAATTGTGAATTGGAGTGTTGAGTATGTGAATGTGATCCACGGTGATACCGAGCAATAATAAACAATAGTTATACCAATCAAGTTTCATATTAACGTAACGAGTCTAGAAATACCGTGACATATTATTATACTGAGTATGTGTATAATTCAAAGACTTATGTGAAAAGTTTGTAATCATTTACATATCAAACCCAAACTTTAAAATGAGTATTTCATTTTTACTTGATTGTGATAGCAAAATGGCAAGAACGTAATACGAAAGAGCATTTAACGTGGAACTGAGAGTAACATTTATTTGTTCTGAAGATTTTTTAAGAATAATCATTATTGAGGTTGTTTCACATCGTTGTACTTTTTTCATTATGAATTTGGCAGGATTCATTATATAAAGTCATATTGTTTTCAGAGTTACGCGAATAAAATTTGAATGAATTACAATATTTGGTTAGTCGCAATTATGATCATTACTTGGGTAATTAAATATTCATCACGAGCATATTCAAACATCACTCATTAATCATATCTAATGTTCCACATCTGCACATGCCTTCAAAAAGCAACATTTCAATACTAATAATGCATCCAAATCAAGTATTTATATCATTTCAACATGCTGCTTTTCTCATCGAATTATATGTTAATCTGGAACCTAAGAGACATACTAGGG